AGCTAGAAAAGGAACAGCAAATAAACCTTAAAGCCATCAGAAGAAGGGAAATAATAAAGATTAGAGCAGAAATAGAAGATATAGAAACAAAGAAACTAAGAAGCAAACAAACTCCCCCCCCAGTGGATTTAAATATGAGACTGTAAAGCATGAAAATCAAGAGGAGAACATAGACACCAACCTCTTTGACCTCAGCCATAGCAACTTCTTACTAGACACATCACTGGAGGCAATGGAGACAACAGCAAAAATAAACTTTTGAGACTTCATCAGGATTAAAATCTCCTACACAGTGAAGGAAAAAATCAACAAAACTAAAATGCAGCTTACAGAATGAAACAAGACATTTGCAAATAACCTATCTAATAAAGGCTAATATCCAAAATCTCTAATGTGCTTCTCAAACTCAGAACCTAAAACAAATAATCCAGTTAAGAAATGGCCAGAATAACACCCTCAAGGTCCATCCATGTTGCTACACATGGCCAGATTTCATTGTTTCTCATTGCCATGTAGTATCCCATGGTATAGATAAACCACATCTTCTTGATCCATTCGTCTGTTGATGGACACTTAGGCTCTTTCCATGTTTTAGCTATTGTGGAGAGTGCTGCTATGAACATTGGGGTACATGTGCTGAGCGAAATAAGTCAAGCAGAGAAGGACAAATACCATATGTTTGCACGTATAGGAGGATTAGGAGGAACTTGACGGAGGACCAAGGGGGAGAAGAAGGGCGGAAATGGTGGGGGAAAGGGAGAGAGGCAAACCATGAGAGACTCTTGAATGCTGACAAAAACTGAGGACTGATGGATGTGGGGGGGAGAGGGGGATGGGCATGAAGGAGGGCACTTTGGGGATGAGCACTGAGTGTTATGTAAAAACTAATTTGACAATAAACTATTTGTAAAAAAATAAAAATAAAAATAAAAATGCACACACACACACACACAAAAAAGAAATGGCCAGAATACATGAATAGACATTTTTCCAAAGAAGACATCCAGATGACTAAAAGACACATGAACAGATGCTCATCAAGGAAATACAAATCAAAACCACAATGTGATGCCACCACAAACATGTCAACCCAGCTAAAATTACCCACGCAAGAAACCACAGATATTGCTGAGTATGAGGAAAAATGGGAAGCCTTTTGTGGGAATGGAAACTGGTGCAGTTACTTGAAAACGTGGAGGTTTCTCAAAAAGTTAAAATAGAATCACCTTACATGCCAGCAATTGCATTACTAGTTAGTTACCCAACGGACACAAAAATACTTATTCAACAGATTACATACATCCTGATGTTAATAGCAGCATTTTCAAAAATAGCCAAACTATGGGAAAAGTCTAAATGCATTTTGACTGATGAATGGATGTGTGTGTGTGTGTGTGTGTGTGTGTAATAGAATATTACTGTTCCATCAAAAAGAATTAAAACTTACCAATTGCAAAAATGTGGATGGAGGGGCGCCTGGGTGGCTTAGGCGGTTAAGCTTTCACTTAAGTCATGATCTCGTGGTTCGTGGGTTTGAGCCCCACGTTGGGCTCTGTGCTGACTGCCAGCTCAGAGCCTGGAGCCTGTTTCAATCTGTGACTCCCTCTCTCTCTTATCCTCCCCTGCTCATGCTGTCTCTCTCTCTCTCTCCTAGAAATAAATAAAACATTAAAAAAATTTTAAAAAAATGTGGATGGAAATATGGTGTATCATGAAAATGAAATAAGTGAGAGAAAGACAGATATCACAGGATTTCATTCATATGTGGAATTTAAGAAACAAAGCAGATGAACATTTGGGAGGTGGGGAGAAGAAAAGAGAGAGAGAAAGAAATCATAAGAGACTCTTAAAGACAGAAAACAAACAGAGTGGGCACTGAGCCTCTCAGGCACCCCCATTTTAAGTTAATTTTTATATATGGTGTGAGTATTAGTTTCAGGCTTTGTTTTGCTTTGTTTTTAGTGTTGTTGTATGACAATTGTTCTAACACCATTTGTTTATACATTGAATTCTTCTTGGATATTTGTGGAAAACCAAATAGATATTTTTATGTGGATGCGTTTCTATTTTTTTCTTTTATACATTATTGTCAAGTTGGTTTCCATATGACACTCAGAGCTCATCCCAACAAGTGCCCTCCTCCATGCCCATCGCCCCTTCTCTGGTCCCCCACCCCCATCAGCCCTCAGTTTGTTCTCACTATTCAAGAGTCTCTCATGGTTTGCCTCCCTCCTTCTCCCCAACTATTGTTCCCCAACCCCTCCCCCATGGTCCTCTGTTAAGTTTCTCCTGTTCCACTTATAAGTGAAAACATATGGTATCTGTCTTTCTCAGCCTGACTTACTTCGCTCAGCATAACACCCTCCAGTTCTATCCAGGTTGCTACAAATGGCCAGATTTCATTCTTTCTCATTGCCATGTAGTATTCCGTTGGATAGATAAACCACATCTTCATGATCCATTCGTCGGTTGATGGACACTTAGGCTCTTTCCATGATTTGGCTATTGTTGAGAGTGCTGCTATGAACATTGGGGTACATGTGCCCCTATGCTTCAGCACTCCTGTATTCCTTGGATAAATTCCTAGCAGCGCTATTCCTGGGTCATAGGGGAGTTCTATTGTTAACTTTCTGAGGAACCTCCACATTGTTTTCCAGAGGGGCTGCACCATGTTACATTCCCACCAACAGTGTATGAGGGTGCCCGTTTCTCCGCATCCTCACAAGCATCTAGAGTCCTCTGATTTGCTCATTTTAGCCACTCTCACTGGCGTGAGGTGGTAACTCAGTGTGGTTTTGATTTGTATTTCTCTGATGAGGAAGGATGCTGAGCATCGTTTCATGTGTCTGTTGGCCATCTGGATGTCCTCTTTGCAGAAGTGTCTTTTCATGTCTTCTGCCCATTTCCTCACTGGATTGTTTGTTTTTCAGGTGTGGAGTTTGGTGAGTTCCTCATAGATTTTGGAAACTAGCCCTTTATCCGCTATGTCATTTGCAACTATCTTCCCATTCCAACAGTTGCCTATTAGTTTTATTGATTGCTTTATTTGCCATGCAGAAGTTTTCTTTCTTGATGAGGTCCTAATAGTTCATTTTCTTCTCTTGATTCTCTAGCCTTTGTGGATATGTTGAGTAAGAAATTGCTGTGGTTGAGTTCAGGTGGTTGTTTTCTGCTTTCTCCTCTAGGGTTTTGATGGTTTCCTGTCTCACATTCAGGTCCTTCATCCACTTTGAGTTTATTTTTATGTATGGTGTAAGAAAGTGATCTAGTTTCATTCCTTTGCACATTGCTGTCCGGTTTTTCAAGAACCATCTGTTAAGGAGGCTGTCTTTTTTCCATTGGATACTTTTTCCTGCTTTGTCAAAGATTAATTGGCCATCCATTTGTGGGTCTAATTCTAGGGACCACTGGCCTCTGTGTCTGTTTTTGTGCCAATTCCATACTATCTTGATGATTACAGCTTTGTAGTAGAGGATAAAGTTTGGGATTGTGATGACTCCTGTTTTGGTTTTCTTCTTCAACATTACTTTGGCTATTCGGAGTCTTTTGTGCTTCCATACAAATTTGAGGATAGTTAGTTCTAGCTTTGAGAAGAATGCTGGTGCAGTTTTGATTGGGATTGCATTGAATCTGTAGATTGCTTTGGGTAGAATTGACATGTTAACAATACTTATTCTTCTGATCCATGAGCATGGGATGTTTTTCCATTTCTTTGTGTTTTCTTCAATTTCCCGTCAAAAATTTGCTATTGTTTTCATCTTACAGATCTCATATATCTTTGTTTAGGTTTATTCCTAGGTATTTTATGGGTTTGTGTGTGTGTGTGTGTGCAATTGTGAATCCGATCAGTTTCTTGATTTCTCTTTCTGTTGCTTCATTATTGGTGTATGAAAATGCAACTGATTTCTGTACGTTTATTTTGTAATCTGTGACTTTGCTGAATTCATGGATCAGGTCAAGTAGGCTTCTGGTGGAGTCTGTTGGGTTTTCCATGTAGGGTATCATATAATATGGAAAAGTGAAATTTTGAGTACTTCTTTGCCAATTTGGATACCTTTTGTTTCATTTTGTTGTCTGATTGCTGATGCTAAGACTTCCAGCACTGTGTTAAACAACAGTGGAAAGAGTGGACATCCCTGTCGTATTGCTGATCTCAGGGAAAAAGCTCTCAGTTTTTCCCCATTGAGGGTGATATTAGCTGTGGCCTTCTCATAAATGGCTTTTATGATGTTTAAGTAAGTTCCTTCTATCACGACTTTCTGGAGGGTCTTTATTAAGAAGGGATGCTGTCTTTTCTCAAATCCTTTTTATGCATTTATTGACAGAATCATGTGTTTTTTTTATCTTTATGATTGTTTATGCAATGTATCACATTGATTGATTTGCGAATATTGAACCAGCCCTATAACCCTGGAATGAATCCCACTTGAATATGGTGGATAGTTCTTTTTATGTGCTGTTGAATTCAATTTACTAGTATCTTGTTGAGGATTTTTGTAACCATATTCATCACGGCTATTGGCCTATAGTTCTCTTTTTTTGCTGGGTCTCTGTGTGGTTTGGTAATCAAAGACATGCTGCCTTGGTAGAATAAGTCCGGAAGTTTTCCTTCCACTTCTAATTTTTGGAGTAGCTTGAGAAGAATAGGTATGAGCTCTGATTTAAATGTCTGGTAGAATTCCCCAGGGAAGCCATCTAGCCTAGGGATCTTATTTGTTGGAAGATTATTGAACACTGATCCAATTTCTTCACTAGTTATGGGTCTGTTCATAAGAACAAAGGATGCACATGAGCAGGGAACAGGCAGAGAGAGGGAGAGAGAGAATATGAAGTATGCTTTCAGTATGAGAAGTTGGCAATGGAAAGGATCTAAGAGTTCCACTGGCTCAGAGGCATGGCTATGCATGGGCAAAGGCTGCTGAAGGATGACAGGCCATCGAATTACCCCAGCGAGCTCCCCAAACATCCTGTTCTGTGTGCTGGCATCCCAATGTATGCTTGTATCCATAATGACAAAATCAACAACATTGCTTGAAAATGCTAAACAAAATGAATGAAAACTCATTATAGTATTATTGAAATTGAGATCCATCATGTTGTAGCCACCACTGAGGCTAAGCTTGAGAGAGATTCTTCCTTTGGTCATATTGTGGAAATTCCTACCCCAGATAGTGCCTTAGCACAGGAGAGACTAGTAGGGGCTAAGTGTCTGAAAACCCAAACCCTTTATTGGAAGTGTGTCCAAAAATCACAGGTACTAAGATAAAAAAATGAAGTTAAAGTTTCAGTGGCTAGTTAAAAAAAAAGCCCCAAAATTTCAATGGTATGGATATGATAAAGGGATGAGGAGACGATAGCGGGTATTCTGGCACAGTATAGCCCCAGACAGCACTGTTGGCGAGAACAACCTCCCCCGATAAACACCCATTCCTAGCAATCAAACACTATACCACAACACAGTCAGGAACACGCTCTTACTCCTGCCGTCACTTACAGGATGAGCATGCTGCCAATACGCATGGCAGAACGAAAACACAGAGGGACTCGACAGGCAGACGCAGGGGCTCTTCCCGCCGTGGCCAGCGATTCCCAACGTGGCCAGCAGGGACCAGGTCACGTGTCTCACATGTCCGTGCGATTGCACCACCCTCCTCAAGAGAAAGGGTCACCGCAGGCGCGCCGTCGGCCACGAGGTGAAGGACTCCCTGTGCGACAAGGGACAGAGACCGACGGGAACACCAGAGACCATTCGGGTTCCCATCGTGAAGGAAACGCATCGCCCTGTCGGGGTGGCTCCCGCCGGGGGCTGCATTCCTTCGAGTCCTCGGTGAGGGACATGAAGGTGACCAAGGGACGTGGGAAAGGGCCTCAACCCCCGCCGCGGGCTGCATCCTTGCGGAGGCCTCTCGGCGCTGGTGACGGCCCGAGCTGGCGCACCCGGCCACTCCGGCGGGCCCCTCGCCCTCGGGCGCAGGGGTCTGACCTCCTCCCCACTGCCCCCCGACCAGGCTGGGCCGGAAAAGCCTGCGGCGTGGCCTGCCAGC